ATTTTAAAAAGTAATAATAATAAATAAAGTTAAATAAAATAATTATTTTTGTTTTTTTTTTTAAGGAATTATTTATTTATTTATTCATTCATTTATTTTACTTTGACCAGAGAAAGACAGACACACAGAGAGAAGGAAAGTGAGAAAGCAAGCCACCAGGTCCTGGATTCGAACTGTGGTTAGCCATGTGGGAGAGTCCAGTGCCTTAACCACCATACCACCTGCCGGTCCCAAAATAATTCTTTAAAAAAAAACACAAAAAACAACTCACACTGAGCATGTGTGCATATGTGCCCAAGATCCCGAGAGGAGAATGGAGGAGGAGGGATTGCGGCGTGGCCGTTCCCCTGTGGGTGATTTCTCCCTTCCCCTCTCCCTGTGTCTAACTGCCTCCAACAAATACACACCTTCTAAGGCAAACCCCCTTTTTTTTTTAAGAATTATTTTATTTAACTTTATTTATTTTATTTTATTTATTTTTTAATTTGACCAGAGAGGGTCAGAGTGGGGGAGAAAGGAATGAGAGCAGGGCTGGCAGGTCCAGGACTTGAACCGTAGTCCACCATGTGGGAGTCCAGCGTCTTTAACCACCACACCTCTTGCCAGCCTCTCCCCCAATTTATTTTGGAGTCGTTTTTGCAATAGGGCACGTGCCCTTGCCAGACAGACAGAGAGAGACAGAGAGACAGAAAGTGAGAAATCACCCCCCAGGGGGGATGTCCACGCTGCAATCCCTTCTCCATTCTCCTCTCGGGATCTTGGGCACGCACACACATGCGCCCGGCGTGAGTTTAAGCCACCGGGTCCGGGACTCGAACTGCGGTCGACTACATGGGAGTCCAGCAACATAGCCATTACGCTAACCACTGGTCCTTTTTTTTTTTTCCAATAATGATTTTATTTTATTTGTTTCTTTATTTTCATTGGACCAGAGAGGGACAGAGTGGGTGAGAGAAAGAGAGAGAGAGAAAGTGAGAAAGCAAGCCGCCAGGTTGGTCCAGGACTCGAACCGTTGTCAGCCATGTGGGACTGTCCAGAGCCCTTAACCCCCTGTTCCACATCATTGAATGAGCACCTACTGTGTGGGAGGCCCAGGGTGGACATAAGGGTTACAGAGATGGAAGTGCAGGTTGGCGTCTGCCCGGAGGCAGTGAGGTGGCCCTCCGAGCAGGAATTCAGCCTGGGGAGGGCCCTTGTGGGAATCTAGACTGGAATGTTGAAATTCACCCTCCCGAGCAGATCTCAGATGCCTGTAGGTTTAGACGAATCTGTATCAAGTTTGCACCTGGGGATGGTGGCTAAAGCCCAGACAGGAAATGTGGGACCTCAAAACTCAGTCCAGGGACCAGGAGTTAGCGTAATGGCTATGTCGCTGGACTCCCATGTTAGTCGATCACAGTTCGCGTCCCGGACCCGGTGGCTTAAACTCACACCGGGCGCGTGTGCGTGCATGCCCAAGATCCCGAGAGGAGAATGGAGGAGAAGGGACTGCGGCGTGGCCATCCCCCTTGGGGGTTGATTTCTCATTTTCTGTCTCTCTGTATCTCTCTAGCGAGCACACGCACCCTATTGCCCTACAGTGAAAACCTCTCAAAAAAACCCAAAAAAAAAACCCCTCAGTCCAGCAGTCATGGGGAGCCATAGAGGGTATGTGAGGAAGGGAGGATGATACAGTTAGTTCCTGGTGCTGGAAAAAACCAGTTGGGGGGACCAGCAGTTGGCGTAATGGCTATGTTGCTGGACTCCCATGTAGTCGACTGCAGTTCGAGTCCCGAACCCGGTGGCTTAGACTCACACCGGCGCGTGTGCGTGCGTGCCCAAGATCCTGAGAGGAGAATGAAGGAGAAGGGATTGCGGTGTGGCCATACCCCCTGGGGCATGATTTCTCGCTTTCTGTCTCTCTGTCTCTTTGTCTCTCTCTTTCTGGTGCACCCTATGGCTAAAACCTCTCAAAAAAAAGCCCAGCTGGGGGTTTCTGTGTCAGTTCAGATCCCCTCAGTCACCACTGTGGTGACATGAGCCTTGACCCTAACTTTGATCTTCTAACCTGTCCTTGACTGAAGCCTTCGCCACCCCCTGTCGTAGGTACCCCCCAGTCCCCTGGTCAGTGCTAACGGCCCGGGAGAGGAGAAACTGTTCCGAAGTCAGAGCGCAGACGCCCCCGGCCCCACAGAGCGGGAGCGGCTCAAGAAGATGCTGTCTGAGGGGTACGGGGCATTTGGGGGGACGTGGGGTAGGACTTGAAGGGGCCTAGCATGGATGAGACCAGGCAGGGAGGAGGGTCCCAGAAGCCGGCGGGAGGACACAGGCAGCGGACTTGACTGTGGGTTCAGATCCTGCCCCTGGACCAGGCTCCGCGGTGGGCCACGCCTCCCGGGGCTGACCCCGCCCCAACCCGGCCACGCCTTGGGGCTAGCCCCGCCCCTTCCACAGCTACCTGGGCTGGTAATAAAACTGGGGGAGGCTTCCCAATCTCCCACCCTGTTCTGACTGCGGTCAGGTGAGTCTCGGCTGATACCACATGCCTGATTTTTTAAAATATTTATTTATTTATTTATTTATATTTGACCAGAGAGGGACAGAGATTGAGAGAGGAGAGAGGGAGGAAAAGTGAGAAAGCAAGCTGCCGAGTCCAGGACTAAACCTGCTAGTTGACCAGTGGCCAAGCCCATGTGCCTGCTTTTTTTTTTTTTTTTTTTTAATTATTTTATTTAGCTTTATTTACTTATTTATTATTTCATGTTATTTCTTTTAGCTTTATTTATTTATTTAAATTTGACCCGAGAGGGTCAGAGAGAAAGAGAGACAGGAGAAAGGGAGGAAATATGCCAAGTCCAGGAATCGAACTTGAACCCCAGTTAACCATGTGGGAGTCCAATGCCCTTAACCATCACACCAGCTGCTTCTGGCTCTCCACGGACCTGATTTGACCGTCCCCAAGACAAGACCTGTGCTTTCCAAAGCCACCCCATCTCTAGCTCCAAAGTGCTGTGACCCTGCCCCGTGTTTGACCACGCCCCTCGTTCCATTGGCCACGCCCTACCAATCATAACCTGACCCCGCCCCCTAGCCTAGCACCGCCCTGCACCTGACCACGCCCCTTAACCAGTGTCGCCACGCCCATCACCCTCATGTTCTGACCCCCACCTCTAGCCTAGGGTAGCCACGCCCCCAGCCGAGCTTGGCCATGCGCCTAGCCTAGTCACCAGATTCCCTAGACTCACCTCTGACCATGATGCCAGGGCCCTGGCCCTGCTCCTGACCCTGCCTCTAATTCAGCGGGATCCCACCCATAACCAGTGTCACCCGGCCTCTAGCCCTTCCCCCGCCACGCCCCTAGATGAGCATCGCATGACTCCGCCCCCTGCCCTACCCCACCCACCACGCCTCTGGCCACGCCCCTGGCCACGCCCCTCGCTCACCCCTGGTCTCTGCAGCTCCGTGGGCGAGGTGCAGTGGGAGGCCGAGTTCTTCGCGCTGCAGGACAGCAACAACAAGCTGGCGGGCGCCCTGCGAGAGGCCAACGCCGCAGCCGCCCAGTGGAGGCAGCAGCTGGAGGCCCAGCGGGCAGAAGCCAAAAAAAAAGAGGGCGAAAAGGCCGAGCGCCTGCGGCAGCGGTTGAGTCCTTCCCCACTCCCCACTGCACCCTTGACTTGCATCTTTGCACACCCCGGTCTCCGCAGGTCCTGTGAGTGTCTCACATGTCACTTGGCCTCTGTTGCTTGCTCTGTACAATGTGTCTGAGCGACCAGCAGATGGCGTAATGGCTTTGTCGCTGGACTCCCATGGAGTCGACAGCGGTTCGAGTCCCGGACCCGGTGGCTTAAACTCACGCCGGGCGCGTGTGCTTGCGTGGCCAAGATCCCAAGAGGAGAATGGAGGAGAAGGGATTGCGGTGTGGCCATCTGGGGGGGGGGGGTGACTTCTCGCTCTCTGTCTCTCTGTCTCTCTCTGTCCTAGCAATTGCAAGCACCCTGTAGCAAAAACCTCCCCCCACCAAAAAAAAAAAGATGCGTCTGAAATATGAACCTCAGGGGACCGTGTACCCTCCTAAGTAGCCCACACTGCCTTGAGGCAGTAGTCCATCTGCCACCAGAACTCAGACCTAACATGGCTGAGTGGAAGGCACATTCTCTGGAGATCTGGGGGTTCCGGGGCTCAGCTTTCTGGCTCTGCAGGTGGCGGAGTTGGAAGCTCAGGCAACGGTGGAGCCGCCCCAGGTCAGCGAGAAGGAGGGACCCGGCCAGTCACTGGAGCAGCTGGAAGCGTTGGTACAAACTAAAGATCAGGTGAATGTGGTCCCCCGACCTTCCCCCTCCTTCCAGGGGGGAGCCAGAACCACTCCCCCAAGATCAGACCTTTGGGAAACTTCTCTCTAGGAGATCCAGACACTGAAGACTCAGACCAGTGGGACCCGGGAGGTCCCGGATGCGGTGGAGCGGGAGGAGACCCAGCAGAAGGTGCAGGTGTGTGGGGGTGCCAGGAGGTGGGGTGACCAGGATGGGCCGGCCAACCCCTGTGGTAGGACAGGCTTGGGATCTGCCTCCCTGGCTGGTTCAGGGCAGCTCCCTGCCTCCCTGAGCCTCACCATCTGCACTCAGCAGTAACGCCAGGAACGTGTCTACCTGAGGTTAGGAAGGGTTGTGAGGACCAGGCCCGGGGGTGCACGACACCCAGTAGGTGCTTCATACATGATGGTTATTAAGTGTAATTTTTTTTTTTTAAGAATGACTTATTTAACTTTATTCTTGGTTGTTTTTTTTTTTTGAGAGGTTTTTGCTATAGGGCGCGTGCGCTTGCCAGAAAGACAAAGAGAGACAGAGAGACAGAAAGTGAGAAATCACCCCCCAGGGGGAATGGTCACACCGCAATCCCTTCTCCTCCGTTCTCCTCTCGGGATCTTGGGCATGCACGCACACACGCCCGGCATCAGTTTTAAGCCGCCGGGGCGGGGACGG